GATTTTACGTCGATATATGCCGACGTAAAACCCGATCTTTCTTGTAGTGATATGTGATTCTTTCAAAACAAAAATATAATAAAATAGTAACATGTGAAATATCTTGCATCATGTGGTGTGAGATTTTTAAATTAAGGTTTACATCCTTTGATAGTAAACCAAAGGAATTACAGAATATGCATATTCTATATATACACTACACCTCTCCAACCATGCAAATGTATGCATATGGATGTATTCGTGATATAGAGGTTGCTTGGTATGGACTATTATTCTAGACTTTTACTTAAAAATTAAACTTAAAATTTTTTGCTGTTAAAATAAAAATTGTGGTTTAAAAAAAAACGCTTACAAACATGGCTTTAAAAAATTAAAGACAATATAGAGTAAAAACAAAATTTGGGCAGTTGGAAGCTGTAAAGGCTTTAGAGAAAAATAAGAAAGTAAAAACATATTTGGTAAAATTTTGACTTTCAACTTTCTAAGAAAAAAATGTTCTAAAAGCCTAACACCAAGCACACCCATACTCTTACAAATTTTTATAGTTGGAACTTGGAAGATAAAGACTTGTATAATTAACATAGAATAATCAACAACTCTTCTTCTAGATATAGAGTTAGATGACTAGGTAACAAACAGTGAATAAATCTTGATTTTAACTAGTATTTATAAATTCATTAATAGAATAACACAAGATTTTAATAGGTATTTTAGATTAGTGTTCCAATAACACAAAATTTTTATTAAAATTTCAAATCAAGCAAACTACACAAACGAATATTCTCCCCAAATTGTTATGAATAGTGAATAAACCAGAGAACAAAAAAACAAGAAAGCCACAATGTAATTAAATTTAGTGAAAATTCATCAGACTAACCTTTAAGGTTAATGAAATGACAAACCTAATCTAATATATTGAAGGGCTTATTAGACTAACCTTATAAAATTGGTTTAAGTCTATTTTATCCAGATGTTGGATATTATTACGAAAATGTCATTATGATTTTTTTTTTATAAATTTTTTTTTTCGAAAAAACTTTAATTTCGAAAAAAACTTTTTAAAAGATCGAAATTTTTTTTGACGAAAAAACATTTTTTTAAAACGAAAAAGGCAAAAAAAAAAAAAATACAAAACCAAAAACTAAAAAAAAAACCCTAATTCATCTTCTTCTTCTCTCTCTCTCCTGCGCCGTTTTTTTTTCTCCCATGGAGCTGCTCTTCTTCTTAACATTTTCATTCCTCTCTTGCTCTCCTCTTTATCTTTTCTTTTGTTTTGTTAAATTTTGTTGTATGAATATGTATTCTTTATGAACTTCAAAGCTTCGATGTTTCAGATCGAGAAAAACACATCTAGTTCTACCGATTTTTTGTATCAAGAAGCCTCCAACGTTTCCAAGCTCGGAGATCTAGATTTTCCTATGGTTTCTACAATTCATTCTGCTATTATGTGAGTTTCTTTTTCATTTTTCAAATTCTTTGATTTTTTTCTAGATTTGGGTTTTTGGATCTAATATCAACGATAAACTATGGAGATGTGGCGGTTGGCGGTGACTCTTAAACAACATTCTCGCCGCGTCGCGCACAACCGCAGTGGATAGACGTTGTTTCGATGGAATGGTCGGCGGCATAAATTTTTTTTTTCAGGTACGTTTGGTAGATATATTTGGAAATCGATTTTGTATTTTTTTGGTTGTAAAGTTCATAATGTGTGATGGTAGATTTATTTGAAAAACGGTATGTAGTTTGGTAGATTATTAGTTATTTGATGGTAGATATATTTAGAAAACGAAATGTGGTTTGGTAGATTTATTAGTTATTTGATGGTAAAATTATTTTAAAAAACGATGTCGTTTGGGAGATTTATTAGTCATCTAATGATAGACTTATTTGTAAAACGATGTGGTTTGGTAGATTTATTAGTCATTTAATGGTAACTTATTTGAATTTGGTAGATTTATTAGTTATTTATGGTAGATTTATCAGTCGTTTATATTTGAATTTTATATATAAATAACAATATTTGTTTATTTTTTCTGACAGATTATGGGCTTTGCCATGGTGAACAAATCTTTGATGGGATATCCAGCACCGATCCGACATGTTTTACTATGAATTGTAGATTTACATTTGGTAGATTTGTTATGAAATGATGGTAGATTTATTATTAAATTGATGGTATATCTATATTTGAATTTGTAAAAATGATAATTAGATTTTGAATGATAATATTTTTGTTTTCAAATTATATTTGTCGTAAAACATTGATCCAGACATTTCACATTTTTATCACATTTGCTAGTAATGTTATTATTCAATTTAATTTATTTCTTTACTTTCATTATGATGTATATCATAACTGAAATCATTTGACATTGTGATGTTGTAAAAGTTTATGTAAATAGAGTTAAATGTAACAAATATTCAAAAATAAAAATCAAAAGATCATAAGTTAAGAGATGGTTATTACAAATATGACATATATGTTCAAAGTTAATATGAAAAGCAAAATTATCTTAGAGAAAAAATATATCATAGAAAAAATATTCATATTAGAAATTTTTGATCATTGATTATGACATCTATATCGTAAAGAACAATACTCATCTGTGATCGAATCACAGTTAACCGACATAATCTTAGCAAACTCATGCAAAGAAAACGTCAATGGTAACAAAACCAAGTCAAATATAACCATGGAACAAGTCTACCATATGTACGAAGCCTGTTTAACATACAACATTCCAAAACAAGTCTACCAAACCACTAGTTTTTTCGTAGATAGGAGAATATATTTAGGACAAAAAAGTAATTTCAATCCAAAAAGTCAAATGTCTGCCAAACATTAACAACTAAGTCTACCTCAAGCATAGAAAATAACTCTACCATAGAAACAAGTCCACCATAAGCACCTCATATGTCTACCAGATCGAGGTTATCTTTGTAAATACCAAACTTAATTAATCTACCACATATTATAAGAAGTCTACCATACGAACAATAACTCTACCAGATTACATAAACTCTACCAAACTGACAAACAAATCTACCAACATTCTAAGTCTACTTCATGTAGCAAATAATCTACCACTTACCGAAAGAAATTTTATTTCAATTTAAATCTACCACACAACAAACATATTTACCACAAAACAAATAAATCTACCAACATTTTGTAAGTCTACCTCATGTAACAAATAATCTACCACTCACCAGAAGGAATTTTACTTGAATTTAAATCTACCACAAAACAAACATATCTACCACAAAAGCAAAAAATCTACCAACTAAATATAACTCTACCATGAAACAAATATATCTACCGTCACATATTGACAACTTTTTTCACATAAGTCTACTGCCAAAGAACATAAGTCTACCAACTTAGAAATTAAATCTACCTCATTGTCAATAAATCTATCGATAAAGTCAACTATGCGACAAAGTCAACGCTTTTTTAACAAATCTACCAACACGTTTGACAAGTCTGCCATTCATAACAACAAATCTACCAAAACATAATAAATCTATCTCTCATCATCAAAACTCTACCAAGATAAGTCTACCAACATTTGTAAACTCTACCAACTCTCGAATAAATCTACCATCGACCTAATAACTCTACCGACAAAATTTTTGCGTTGACCAAAATTTGATAAGTCTACCATAAAGCCTGGTAGACTTATCAAATTTTCAGCGCTATATTTTGCCTACGTGGCATTAAAAATGTAATGACATTTTCGTAACTATGTTTTTTTCAACAAAGGCCAAAAGGGTGTTTTGAGTATGTTAGGTTAGTTTTGTAAAAAAAATAAAAGTGCGCCAAACAAGTAATATAGATACTTTCTAAAATTAGTGTAGTAATCCTCTCTTAAATTTATAATATCAAACTTTTTAAAGTTATTTGTTATATTCATCAGAACCCATCCAAGGAATGTGGTTTGACCAGGAGGTTTGACCATCCAAGGAATGTGGCATAAACAAAGTAAAAAAGTTGATCAACCACATTATCTAATTTTATTTTCATGAACCGAGCTCTTCCTTACAATATAGATGGAAGCCTGTTTAGTTTGGGAGTGGTTTAGCAACTTTGAGGCTTTCTAAGGATTTAACTACTTTGAGAAGCTTCATTTCCTTTCGAAGCTTACTCAATGGTTACTCCATTGTGTAGATATCAACTTGATTGTAAGCTATCGCAATCTTTCACTACCTTGAAGTGAAGTCTCAAAGTCATTATGCTCTGTTTATTCCTTATGACAGAGCAACTTCCTCTTGAGAGTCACCAACAAACTTCATTTGAGTCTAATTGCTAAAGTCTTTTACGAGCCATACAAATTCCCAAGTCCCACTTGAGTAGTGAACCAGCTAGCTTGAACATAAATTTGTTTAGAAACTCAATTCTCGATTGATCCTCTTGACGCCTCTATAGCCTGAAAATCCCAGAGATAATCACTCAGCAAAACAACATTAACAAGTTTAAGAACAATCTCCAACCACTGCATAATCTTGAGATTACTCAGTACATAATCAGATCATCTTCAACACCAGAAACTCTCCTTTAATTAGCCTCATATTGACATTTGTTCTTCAAACCTGAAACTCACTTAACAAGTGTTTCTTTGTGAGATATCTTAACATTACAATCCAAGTCAATACTGTTGATGAACACATATATTTCAACTGATTTCTCCTGTTGACGAAACAAACCTGAAAAAAAAAAACAAAAAGGGGCAAAGAAACGAAAAAGGGTCTAACCGACTAAATCGTAATCAAGAAATGTTTGCTATGTTATGAATTATTTTTATCAGCGAAAAAGCCAAAATTTGCAAAGCAAAGATAATTTTAATTACATTGATTATCTATATATAGAACCCGTTTGACACAAAATTTCCCTCACACTTTCGTTCATTCCCATTTTATTTTCACTCCCTCTCTCTCTCGCTCTCTCTGATTTCCTTCTTTCTCTCTCTTAGAAGTTCTTGCTGAGAGTTCTTGGTCCGATAATGTATTACAACGATCATCGAGCCCGTGCGAAGAAGGATGTTACTTCTCGTAATTCCTTGTCTTTGGTTGATACCGCCGTTGAGTTGTACGAAGAAGAACAAAAATCCAAAAGCCACACGAAGACGAAGACGAAGAAGAAGACGAAGACGAAGACGAAGACGGAGACCGATCTCTCTGCAAAAGAAGAAACAGAAGAAGAACGCGACAGGAGAATCTTTCATCTCTTCCCGAAGAAGAACAGAAATAGCGGAGTCAACTCACAACAGAATCTTAACGGGGCTTCTTCTTCTTCATCATCGATTCTTCTCGATCATAACACGATCCCGGCTGATTCGGAGACGAGAAACCCACAAAACCCTAATGGGCCTTCTCCTTCTTCTTCATCATCGTTTCTTTTCGACCTCAACACGATCTCAGCTGATGATTCCGAGACCCAAAACCCACAAAACCCTAATTCCCAATTGTCTCTGTCTTTATCCCTAACGGAGAACAAGAGTCCTAAGAAACGTGCCGCGCAAGATATCAGCCCTAGTGGTAAATCCAAGAAAGCAAAGGTTGCTACTTTTTCATGGATAGGGAAAGAGATTCCAGAGAGGCTAACCCAGTTGATGACCGACAAGAGCGAAGCTGTACTTAAGTTGGGAGAGAGAACCGACTTGAAGCTGATCTTTGAGAAGACCCTGTTCAATGAAGATGTCGACTCTACAGAGAACTATCTCTCGATGCCTAGCAGAAAGCTAATCCATAAAGACTTCTTGAAGCCTTTCGAGTTGAGAATCGTAAAAAAAGACATCAACAATGATGATTATAAGTTTGGAATTGAAGGTATTCTCTTCGATGAACGGAATGTAAAGTGGGAAGCGATCTTGCAAAAATTCGAGGTGGAGAAAGAATCAGGGAGAAGAAGCTGGAATTACAATTTGACTTGTGGCTGGAACGAGATCGTCAAGGCTAATGGATTGAAACAAGGAGACAACATCAGTGTTTGGTCTTTCAGGTGGGGTGCTCTCCTCTGTTTTGCTCTTGTGACTCCTCCTCCTTCCCTTGATCTCTCTCTCTGACATGTTTCTTCTGTCTCTTGAGACTATATAACTCGATTGATCTACACGAACGGAGATCTCATTTCAGGCGATTCTGGAGGTTTTTTTTAGGTTTAGTTACTTGTTGGATGTAGTGATTAACAAAACATTAGTGTTTCTCTCCTCTATTATTAGCAACTTTGTCCCTTATTAGCAACTTTACCAAAAACTTTGTCCCTTGTATTATATCAGATATGTCTACTATCGTATGAAAGAAGTTTACGTTTTTACATGAATCTCGTTTCTTGTTTGGTATATTTTAGTTACTGCAATGATTGAATCCCTTTGGTTTTCTGTAGAATATCTCAAAACCTGTGATGTGGAATTGATCCTACCGTGAATCGTGCAAGTGTTTTGATACAATCAAAACCAGCGGAATAAGCTAAGTGCATTACCTGTTTTTGATCTTAATGAAAGTAATCAGACATGAAAAAATACTTTCGTTATTGATCTTCCGCTTTCATACGGATTATTGTCAAAAAAGATCGTAAACATTAATTAGGCAAGAAGATGGTTTTTATTGAAGTCCTCTACTCTGTTTTGTGACTGTAAAGAAAAATCTACAGAGAAGAAGAACAAAGAGAACAGAGACACAAAAACGGAAGTAAAAAAGAAAAAGATGAGAAGAATACATATCACAGAGAAGAACTCAAGCTTCTCTTGTGCTTACTCGTGTAACAAGTGCTTTCTCTTGTCTCATACATTTTTTCAAATCGGCAAAAAAGATATTCTTGAACCCACTTGAAAGTCATTCCAATTCTTTACTTGCAACACACGGCAATGCCGGCCCACACATAGCTTGTATATATGTGTGTCTTCGATTTAAAATTGTATACTTGCATTGCTTCACTTCATTTCATTTCTTTTGGTGCTATATTCTGTTCCAAAACCTCATAAAGAATGAAGCTAAGCGAGTCAAGAGGCGAAGCAGAGAAGCACAGGAGACAATATTTTGATCATGAGCTTAAAAACATGATCTCTTCGTTAACCAACATGGGATCAGAGAAGGCAGGACCGAGCAGATATGAGGAAAAGGCGAATGAGGAAGATGGCATCAGAGTCATCACGCTTTCTGGATCGAACCTAGGAGCCACCATGAAGACCGAGCTCGGCGACAATCATGGAGATAATAACCGCGAGCTTGATTTCCTCAGTACTTTTGTTAATAGCAACTTTCAAGCTGTGAACAACTCGATAATGATGGAGGCTAACTACGAAACTAATGATCCAGGCGTTCATCTTGACATCTCAGGCGATGTGGAGAAGAAGCCTTCGATGAAGGCACCTAAGAAGAAGGGAAAGACTTCTTCTAAAAGTGATCGTTGATAATAATAATTTGGCTTTTGCATACAATCTACAAATAAACAGAGAAAGTAGTGCATGCCAAAGCAGTTTACTTTCTCTTCCAAAATGTTTGTTTGCACTGCGTTTATCAATTTAATTCGATGTATATAGTTCATGAAACCGAAAATATGTTTTTTGTAATCTAAATACACACATTTAGTATGTTATAGATTGCGAGAAAGTGTCACTTATCAATATGAAACCACATAATTTGTAAGAAATAAATATATCAATATGTGACACAACTTCTGAATTATGTGTGTGTATACATGTAATCTTGTCCTCCATCGAAGCAACAAACTAATTATTTTGAAAGAAAGATGCAAAAAGGAGAAAGAAAGAGAAGAAAATCTTAGTTGATCTCAATGAAGAGACTTGCCTGAGGATGCAAACCTGCCTCTTCCAAAGACATAGACTGTTTGTCTCTTCCATACACTGTCCTTGGGAAGTTTGTTATTAAGCTGTACTCTTCTGTTTCTAGCAATCCAAGTGAATCAACGTAGTCGTACAATGTCTCTAACTTGGTTTTGCTTTCAAACCTCCTCCCCTTTCTTTCTCCATTCGGGAACCGTACCAAAACCTACAATCAAGGGCAAATAAACGGTTCATGAAAACCGGAAACCAGACCTTTTCAAGTCCAAAGAATGCAAGTTTCAGACAGTAGAACCTAAAGGCCAAGGAAGAAGGGGAAACTTACTTGTGTAACATCAGGGCCTTTCTCAGGTTCGTCTCCAAGAGCAAGTGCTTTCTCTTGTCTCATCCTCACTCTAGCAGCTTCTTTCTCTGCAGCTTCACGTTCTGCTCTCTCACGAGCCTCTTCTTCTTCTTTGAGTTTCCTCTCTGCCTCAGCAGCTTCCCTCTGTAAACGCTCTTCCTCTTCCTGCCTCTGTCGCTCCCTTGCCTAATCAATCAGCAGAAAGATGCCCTAAATTTAGAAAGTAGACTTAATCATAAAAGATCTTGTAAACTCCGGACGGGACTAAAAAATAAGGAAAACATACCTGATCGGCTTCAAGAGCAGCCCTGTAAGCAGCATCTTGTTCCTCTCTCAGGCGCAAATTGTTTCTTCTTTCCTCTGCCTCAACCCTAGCAGTCACCAGAACAGGTGAACTATCTTCTACCACTCTCTGCAGTATAGCAATCATTTCTTCTGGAGTTTTTGGACCCTCAACCTACCACGAGCAACCAGAACAAAGAATACGATAGACTTAAGAACTATATTAAACAATTAAAAGCTGGAGAGAACTTTAAACTAAATGTAAGACATGTCGCGTCAGAGATAAAACCAGAATCAAACAACTCTCTCTACCTTCTTTAGTACTAATCAGTAGAATGGACTCCGATCCAATCCAGTTACCGGATTCATAACCAAGTCTAACTGAAGTCGATGTATTGCATATTTGATTACATTCTTTAATATATAGGCTACTCAATGAAAGGCAATCCAAGAATGGCCATGTATAATCTGTGATCAAACAGAATAACGACTGTTTCATACTACTAATCACTTCAACAAGCTATTAATGTGGATTCAGTTCCAATGCAGTTACCAATAACCTAAGACAAGTAATAATCTTGCTACCAGATTCATAACCAAGCCTATCTGAAGTTGATAAATTTCCTCTTTCGATTACATTCTTTTCCCTAAATATGCTAATAAACGAAGAGCAATCCAAGAATGACCATATAATCTATGAATTTCAACACAATAATGACAGTTTCTTTACCTGCTGAAGAAGAGCAATTCTCTGGTTAGCAGCAGGCATAACCACAGCGCAAAACGGGAACCTAGAAGCCTTCAAGCTATTACTCATCTTAAACCCTTCACTAGATCGAATGCTTCCTCCCCAGGAAACAAAATTCTCATTCAAAAACGCCACAAACGCTTCGTTGCAGAGCGTCCTCTCGCAGAACACAGGCGTATCAGGATGATCCGGAGAGTGCAAGTAAACGAAAAGGAGCTTGAACGAGCTCCTTGATCTCTGAAGCGCGTCCATGAAACCTTCCAATACAAAATCAGGCTTGAAAGGGTTCCTCCCATAATCACTATCGAACAAGGCAACGAACTCCATCGCTTCACCTGCCGCCGAAGAAACCGACGACGACACAAGCCGAGCCGATGACGAAGACGGCGGAACAGAACCACTTCGACCTGATCCAAACCCTAACATACCAAGCGAATACGATAAAACTCCACCAGCAGCCCAAAACCCGAACCCGATCGCGCCGGAAACTAACCCTAAGCTACCGGAAACGATCGAAATCGGCAAAGTGATGATCCTCCAAGCTATTCCCGGAGGTCTGAATCCTCCTCTTCCGTCATCGCGCAGAACAAGCTCTGAATCGTCGGCGATTCCGCGGGGAGGGTAATCGTCAAATCCGGGATTCGCAGTGTCAGCAAAGACGGCGGAGCGATCACCGTCGACGTGAGAAGACGAAGCGGCGGCAGAAGCGTCATCGCGAGGGTCCGATGATGTGAAAGAGGAGATTGCGAGTTCGAGGTCCCAACCATGAGCTTGAAGGATCTCTGTGCACAAATCGGGATCTTCAAGACCTGTAATCGCTTGGAAGTAACTCAATTTGTCAGCAACATCAACCATTATCACATAAATTGTGATCCAAAAACCCTTATTGATTTTTCCCTCGCTTTTCTCTCACAAAGTTAGGATCTTTTTCCTCTCTCAATCTTATCTCTCTAGGAACTAGAAAACTGTGCTGAAAAATTGTTGATCTGTTCAATAACAATGACGATGGCCTCGAATGTAATTACCGAACATACCCCTGGACTTCAACACGATGACGTTTTGGTAAACCAAACTCAAAATTGGTTCGAGTCATCTTGTTTAGGGAAGAATAAAGATCCAATTTTGGCCTTATTAACTCCATAGCCAACCTTAAAGCTTCAATCTTTCTTTCCTTTGCTGTATACCTTTCTTCTATTCAAAACTCAGGAATATTTTGGGGAAAAAAGGTGAGATTTTTTTATTTTTCCTTTATCGTCATTTTACCAAATGATATATTCTCTGTTTAATTTTCTTTCCTAATTACTCTGGGAATGTCTAAAAGCTTGATTAGATTGATAAAAACAAAGCTAATGTACTATTTAGGGTTCTTCTCTTGCTTTTATGATTTTGGGGTTAGATGTTTAGAGCAACTTAAGAAACTCTATCAATCATTTCTCTGTTGTAATCCCGATTAGTGGGATGTGAAGGAGATTGTTGAAATTAACAAATTTTAGTTACGAATTTGGAAATGGTGTTGTTTCTGGTAATTAGAGCTACTGATTATAGAAAGTTTATGCCTTTGATAGTTTGTAATTCGATTAAGGTAATGCTTAAAATTTGTTACTTGTTCCGAATTTGCAGTTGAAATCAGTAACATCCAAAGAGATGCAGGAAGCTGCCATTGATCTATCACTCAACACTAAGAATGTCTTCTTGTCAGCTCTCCGTTTCGCAATGTCCATTGACACGCTGAAGAGCTCTCCTGAGATTGCTCATGAACTCAAAACCTCAGCTCAAGAACAAGTGGAATTCATGCTAGCCGGAGACGAAGAGGTACGGTTACTGGTTTCTGAAGAGGAAACGAAATCTGTCGTAAGATTAGGCATCTCGAATGTTACATCGACGTTATTGGACAGATTATCATCATTGCTTCTTCTTCTTCCTGAATGTCCTGAGTTTGATGTTCTTACTACACTCTATGATATGGAGTGGCTGTGCAAAGTATTGCCGAGGATGGAATTGATGAAAGATCTTGTCTTTAAGTGGGCAGATATATCGAGTGAGATTCTTTTGATAGTTGAGAACTGTAAGTTAGATTCTAGGATAATGGGTGTGAAGGTGAAGCTAGTTGAAGTTACAGGGAAGGTTTTAGAAGCGGTTGGTTATGGAATCGTGATTGTTCCTTCTAGAAGCCGGGCTTGTCTTTTGAAGATGTGGTTGCCTTTCATAAGGAGGCTAAAGACTTTGGTTGATGCAGAAGGAACTGAGTCTGGATATAGAATGGATGAAGATCTTTGCGAGTTCATTGAAGGATCGATGGTGTCTTTGGTTTTGACATTGCCTTCGAAAGACCAAGCAGAAGTGTTTGGGGAATGGATGAGAGGGATTGGATTGGAAGGTGTGAAGTTTCCGGATTTGAGTGAAGCGTTTGAGGTTTGGTGTTATAGAAGCAAGTCTGCAAAGAGAAGATTGTTGGAAAGATGTGATAGACTTGCAAGTGAAAATGTTTCCCTTTGAATATAAGATATTAATATAGGAATTTGGAAGTGCAGAACATGTAGCTAAGCTTTTCTAAGTTCCAAAGCTTTTCTTCTTCTTCTTTAAGCTGGTCTGCTTATTTCCATGGTGGATGAAGACAGCAGCTTTTGTTCACTTCACAGTTCACACATGATGCCTTGACTTAGACCGTCAGCGAAGATAAGACCGGATAGGTCCAAACCTAGACTGAGAGAAGGAGAAATCGAAGCGCCCGGGATTCAGATCATCTGAATCTCCATTCCTTGTCACATTTGTAATCTTGTATCATCTTTTACTCTCCTTGATCTGCTAGCTGCTTCATTGTAATCGTGGATTGTATTAGGAGTGACAGAAAGCTCCTGATTCTTGTACTTGATTTATGATATATTTAGCGTAAGATTAGTCTGATAATTGTTGATACTTAAGTCTCTTTGTTTCCTGAGAGTTTTTCTTCTTCTTCTTCTTCACAATAAGCTTCTTCTTTGCTTGCCGGTTTTCTCTTTTGTCCATAAACTTCTTGGTTGTAGAATCACTAGTCTTATATACCGACCCTTGAGATAAGGGCGATTCCCTTGACTGCAACATAATACGGAGATCAGAGATCAAAACGGGAAGGTAAAAGACAAAAAGAATTCCAATGCAGATCATCATTTAACTCATTAATGAGCAAGATTTTTGCTGAATTTCTAAATCTGAGATCGCTGTTTCATCTTTCAAACAGTTCACGACAGATTAGTCAATGACAACAAAATAGTATTTACTGAAACACTAGGCAAAATAAAGGTTTTGTTGGGTCTTGCCTTAATACTCTTGCAATTCAAGGGGTTATTACAAACCTTCACAGTATATTAGTTTTCGTTGGTGGAAGCTGAAAATGCTAACATCTTCCCAACTCAACAATTATAGTTGACTAACATTGAGATTCAAAAGGTTTGGTCAACAAAAATAGAGATTAAAACGGCTTGATTAACCAAAATTGGAACTTTTTTGGGCTGTTGGAAAATTGGTTTCTTTGTTTTGGCATTTTTCTTTTATTACAAACTACGAAAATAACCAATTTGATATTTTAAAAGTTAGTGTGGATAAATGAAAAGTACCAAAAAAAAAAAAAACAAGATTTTTGTTTATAGTTCTTTGGGATTCCTAAAAGCGAGATCCAGTCTGATTTTTCTCTTACAAAATTCACTAACTAAAAGAAAAAGAAAAGGAAGATTTCAAGGGGTTAATTAATAAAATATGCCAAATGTAATAAAAATAAAATAAAATAAAAGATGTATACCAAATCTTATTAAATTAAAAAATTAGTGATTTAATATGAAATGTAATACATCAATTAAAGTTTATTTTTTAGAAGAAAACAAGTAGAGAAATAATTCAATACATGGATTGAAAAATGAAAATGCAAAGACAGACAAACTATATATAAGAACACTCCGATGCTCTTAGATTCATATTCTTGCAACGTCTTATTTGCTAGATAGATAAAAATGAATAATTGTTCTTGTGTCTTTCTGTTAATAATTGCTTTGTTCGTTGGATTGAGCGAAGGTTTTGGGCGTCCATGTGCTAAGAATACCGTAACTATTCAAAACAAATTAGCTAGTGGTAGCAATCTTGAAGTCCATTGCCAATCTTTAAACGGCGATCTAGGCTTCCACATGGTAAAATTCAATGATCCTCCATACAATTTTAGTTTCGGCGATAATATGTTCATTTTGACAAAATGGAATTGTCTCCTAAGACAAGGGCCTAACATGGAGTACATTCAAGACTTTAGAGCATATGAGGCAAGTCCTGAAGGTCGTAGATGTGGTTAATTGTACACATGGATTGCCAAAGATGATGGTATTTATTTTTGGGAAGATCATCCACCAGAAGGAAAAAGACTTGACTGGATTAAAAAAATATAGTTAAAGAAGATGGAATATTAATTAATTTCATGTAATGAGTTTAAACCATATATTTTGATTTACATATCAATATATATATATATATATATATAGGGCCGGCCCATAGCTAAGGTCCATGAAGCAAAGACTTCAGGGCAGCCCAGAAAACTTTAATTTTTGGGGCAGCAAAAAAAGTTTCAAAATTTTTTTACAAGTGTGTGTAAAAACATTTATCCCACATCGACCAAGACCAAAAAATGGGAAGAAAAAATTACCTATAAATAAGAGTCATTGTCCCTATTAAATATTAAAAAAAAAAATCGATTCTTGCTTATAAAATCGATTTTGGGTTTCAAAAAATCAATTTTAGGCTTCAAAAAATTGATTTTGGCTTCAAAAAATCGATTTTGGCTTCGAAAAATCGATTTTGGACTTCAAAAAATCGATTCTGAGTTTTAAAAAAATCGATCTTAAGCTTAAACACATAACAAATTATGTTTCAATGATATTTTATATTATTATAATTAAATATTCAAAAATATGCTGCAAAAAAAAAATTTTATTAAGGGCATCATTTTTATCCTACGCTTTAGGCGTCAAATCACTTTGGGCCGGCCCTGTATATATATAAAGTTGAATATGCCCTCGATGTTACATCATCAACTCATAGCTTAACATTTTGACACACCATTAATTACTTTATTTTAAGTTATGTATCTAATTTATTATACTCAAGTTCTCATCATTATTACCATCTATTAACAATAATAATGTTTCTTAGAATTTGAAACGACAATATGAAAAATACAATATTGCTTATATATCATTGATCTAAAAAAACTTCAATTTAATAGTTTTAGTTCTAATAATTTAATAGTTTCGTGAAAATACTCAACGCTTAAGTCCGAATAGAAACATCGAAACTCGCAAGATAAAAATAAAATACAAAAGAAAGATATTGAATATTAGTTTTAAATTAGGTATCTCGAATGTTACATCAACGTTATTGGACAGATTATCATCATTGCTTCTTCTTCCTGAATGTCCTGAGTTTGATGTTCTTACTACACTCTCAATATGGAGTGGCTGTGCAAAGTATTGCCGAGGATGGAATTGATGAAAGATCTTGTCTTTAAGTGGGCAGATATATCGAGTGAGATTCTTTTGATAGTTGAGAACTGTAAGTTAGATTCTAGGATAATGGGTGTGAAGGTGAAGCTAGTTGAAGTTACAGGGAAGGTTTTAGAAGTGGTTGGTTATGGAATCGTGATTGTTCTTTCAAGAAGTCGGGCTTGTCTTCTGAAGATGTGGTTGCCTTTCATAAGGAGGCTAAGGACTTTGGTTGATGCAGAAGGAACTCAGTCTGGATACAAAATGGATGAAGATCTTTGCGAGTTCATAGAAGGATCAAGAGCAGAAGTGTTTGGGGAATGGATGAGAGGGATTGGATTGGAAGGCGTCAAGTTTCCAGATTTGAGTGAAGCATTTGAGGTTTGGTGTTATAGAAGCAAGTCTGCAAAGAGAAGATTGTTGGAAAGATGTGATAGACTTGCAAGTGAAAATGTTTTTCTTTGAATATAATATATTGATTTAAGAATCTGGAATTGCAGTAGATGTTTCTAAGCTATTCTAAGTTCCAAGCTTTTCTTCTTCTTCTTCAAGCTGGTCTGCTCATTTCCATGGTGGATGAAGACAGCAGCTTTGTTCACTTCACAGTTCACAAAAGCCCTTTCATATCTCTTTTATTCTGATAGCAAATTTATTTCTTTAAAGAGATGGAAATTTAAATGTGTTTTCCATTGATAACTATATGATTATTTTTTTAAAAAAACTAGAAGTTGGAGGTTCTTTTTAGAGTCAATTACAGTTAAAGGCACTTTTGTGAGTTTATCTTTCAAAAAAGGCACTTGCAACTATTGAGTGACTTTTGTGTTATTGAATGACAATTATACCCCCTAGTAAATTTTCGTTAACTCATTTACCACACAACCGAGAGTTAAAAAAACCAGACGACGAAGAACCCTAAGCGGCCGCCGGAGAGAGATAGTCGACTGTTTCTGGGCTTCTGAGCGAGATAGTTCGATTCGACGAGGCGATGTCAGGTAAAATTTCCTCTGTATGACTTTGATAATTTGGTCGTGTGTGAACACACGATTGAGTTTTACAGATATTTGTAATTACTTTTGAATTGAATCTTATGTTCCAATTTCGGTGTTGATCAGACGGAGACATTTTGGATGAGGCCGATTCGCGGTTGCCGTCTCGTTTATTTGCCACAGATCGGTTTCCAATCAACCGGATAAATGTGTATTCAAAGCCCGACACGCTTACCTTTCTTAGTGAGAAGTTAAGAGGAACTAAAGAGTTAGACATCATCATCAACTCCTGTTTCGGGAAGTTATTCACTTTCCCCGCTGCTCGTTGTCAAATTTCGTGTAAACTGATCCACGCGCTGATGTCCAGACAGTTGGTCACTAAAAAGAAGTATGAGCTGTGGACAGTTTTTGGTGGACACCCCTTAAGATTTGGACAGTCGTACAAAGTGTCATCAAACAGAGGTGGTATGTCGAACTCCTCGTCATCAAGACTTTCAAAGCGCTGACGAGACGGTACACCGGGTCTGTCCAGCAAATCGAAACCTGGTGGATTGTGTAATGTGTTCATTGAGGCAGGTGTATTTGAAAAGAGTGTACCAGAATTCCCGCCCGGGGCTGATTGGCATGAATTGTTTAAAGAGTCTGGCAATCCATTCGGAGGATCAGACATTAACTCAGCTGCATCTGAACCACCAAACTGGTCAGCAAGCAAAGGAGCCCAGAACTCTTTGTCATACTGCAGGGGAACACCGAGAAGCTCTTCTTCTAGGTCAATATCTAAATCACCATTGCTGCAATCGTCAGAGTCAGATAGTTGAGAGTTGCCGCTTGTCGAAGTAGAGGTCCCTTTTGAACTACCACTCTTAAAAATCTCCTCTAATTGCTCCGCGTGAGTGATTAAATCTTCATCGTCGTCGATAGGCTGATAGTGTGTAGTGGAACTACCGCTTTCAAAAAGGCGTACACCGGGTTCGGAAACAGATGCGGGCTGAAATGATTTGCGTTTTAGAGGAAGCAGTGGAGTAGTGAAGCATTGGACATCCTGTTCTGGTGGGACAAACGATGGACATGGACACTCAAAGTGGACAAACATGTTCATAGCTGAACTGACGCGGGAATGTTTGATATAGTAAGATATTGCACTCTCGGTTAAGATGAGAACCGGCGGTGTGGTAATTCCAGTCACTAATTCCTTAGTATTAGGAGGCCAGTAAGATAATGTAGCTTTCTTTCCAGCGTTCCCTTCAGGGAAGAACTCACGTTCAACGATTTCTGTAAGCTGAACAATATCAATGCCTTCTTGAAATGACACCATTCTCGACATCAAGTTTTTGTCAATAAGGAATTCCCACTTCTTGGCAGTGGTGAAAACCCATTCACCAGCAATAACAAGGCAGTGCTCTCCCATGGAAAC